GTGTGAATGAATGGATAAAATGTGCATTGTGATTCTTCAATGGTTGCATTAGCTGTCCTTCCCCTCTGTCATCTGCCATTTGATTTCCGATTTAGCATACAGTGGAGATTTACAGTGCTTTCAGGTGCTAGAAACATATTCTAGTCCAATTCCAAAATAGTTATTTTCTGTATCTATGAGCTATACCTCACCACACACCCAGATCCAGGTCAATCACATAACGAATAACGTTAATTACCCCTCAGGACTTTACAAACCTTGCTTGCTCTCAGGACTTCGACCAGCATGTCATACACAGTGTCTCTGTTCTTCTCAAGGAAACCTTCACATTTATACTCTACCTATACAGAGAAAGGAATTAATCATTTCCAAAGAGGCCAAAGCAGACAGTATCTAAGCACAAGTTTCATTTCTTTTAATAAAGAGGCTATGCAGGCAATCTGACAAAAAGAGATTCGGTTTCTCACGGCAACCCCCATACACATAAGCTTGGAAAGCTGGGAATGAGTCCTCTGCCACAGAGCTGGGCCCTCCCACTGCCTGCTGACGGCTCCACACTCACCTGTCAGTCCCGTCTGGCCACGGGTGACCAGCCGTTCCCTGCAGTGTGTGCAGTTCATACAAGAAGACCCGGCTTAGGGCCCCTTTTACTTTAGACGCCACCAGGAGGCAGAAAAAGCTCAGTGGTGTTCACTGGGTTCAAACAAAAGTTTTCCTAAATCAGCCAGCATTAACATGATAGAAAAGAAAGAAAAAACTGGCCAGCTGACCCACCAAGCTTTTGAGGGCCACCAGGCACTCAGAGTCAGGTTTAGAGTGGGGAAATACTTGCCCTGCCTGAATTTGGCTTAGAAACACTCTCCAAGTTGCCCTTCCTGATTAGCGAAGCTTCTTGAATCCCTCAAACAACGACATAGCCAATGTGGCTGCGTAAAACATCCCAAACCCCCATAATTTACGCTCTGGGTTGTGTATTTTAATTATGTGATATGTATTTTTCATAAATTAAAAAAGATATTAAAAATTAATTTTAAAAATTGATAATGAGCAAACAGGCTTTTGGGGGTGCTAGAATCTGGAGGCAGAGGGGGTCCCCCTGGGTGAGGAAGTGTCTTTGCTAGTAGGTTAAGAACCAGGAACACCTTTGTAAACATTTCCTTGTGAATGTGGTACATGGGAGTTGTACAAATTCTCCCAGAATGGTGGTGTGAGCCACTAAGTATAAATAGGCAAGGGTAGGAAATATAGAGGCTTCCTGGTCCAGGGAGACCATCTGTGGGGACAGTGTCTGTCACAGGCAGCTGGGTGCCTCTGCTGGGGACACTTGGACCAGCGAAAGAGTCGCTGAGTTGCTGCCATGTTTTCAATATGATTTTATTTCCTTGGCTAATGAGATTGAGAACCTAATCTAGCCCTATAATGTGTGTGGGTTCTTCCCACCAATCCACAGTCCGCCCAAAACGCCATGCATGTCTTTTAAGGTGAACTTCTCGGAAACGGCAGGTGAAAGACTCAAATGTACCGAAACTACGTACTATAAAGAGAGACTCTTGAAGTAAATCGCTTATGTGCTTTTTATGGAGTCTGGTCTTTTTTTAACCTTTCCCCATGGGAACAGAATCCTGAAATTATAAAGAACACCTAGAAAATATAATTTGACATATCATCATTCGTTTCATCGGCATCTTTTCAGGAAGCTATCTGTAAAACTGGAAGCCCTGAAATCCTACCATATTTAACAGAACTCCGCTAGCACACAAAGGTGATTACAGTTTTCCAGGTCACCATCCCCACACCTCCCCCTCAGTCACTCAGGAATGGCCCGCTCTGACTTGCAGCACCAGCCTCCGTGACAGACGCAGACAAGCACAAGCCATGCCCGTGACCCCTAGGCAACGGGCCAGGCCACCAGGGCAACAACCTCCCTACCCTCCAGCCCACGCCCACCCCAGGAAACGGGAGGAGGTGGGAGTTCCCTTAAGGAAGAAGAACAAATGAGATGTATATTTAGGGCAAGCGGGTATGGTGATATTTTTTTCCTTCTACTTTCCAACCTTTCTGTAATGTGATTTTAAAAATAATTTTTCTTTTTATGAAAGTAACATTTGTTTAGTAAAAAAAAAAAAGGAGGTTATATAAAGAAAATAAACATCACCTAGAAAACCCATCATCTTGAGTCAAACTGTGTTGCCATTGTAATAAATTTATCCCAGTTTAATAAAAAACCTCAAAAAAAGATATAGCTTTCATCACAGGAAATAATTATGCCATCTGATGATCACAACTTCACATAAAAAATAGATCAATAAGAGGTTAATGAATTCATTGTAAACTCAAAATCAGAAATGAGGTCTATTAACAACACATTTATCTTCAAAGTAGTACAATTGAAACTCATATTTTGCCATAAAAACAAATTAAGAATTGTTAAACACATACACACCTCCTTCATCAAAGCTCGGTGTGAAGTGTGGCCTGAATCCTACAAGGATGTACCCTGGCTGCCTACTCCTGGAAACCGCTCCGGTCCAGGCAGACGGCACTCACGTACCTTATCAGCAAAGTGCTGGATGATAAAGGATGCATTTGACATTCTAGGTTTCTCAAACAAAGGGTTCTTGTTGACAAAATTATTATACAGCTTTTGAAGCCAGTTTTCATCCGTTCCATGAGGTAACTAGAAAATAAAAATAAACCAAATAGCAAGTAAGAAAACTAGAGTTTAACGGAGGCAAGGAAAAGCACAGATTCTAAGAAATCAAGATGATCCGGCACCTTAGACTGAACTGCTCTAGATTCAAGGGCCTCGCCACCCCTTTTAAAAAGCAACTGTAGGCATTAATCTGTCCTTGATCTTAATCTTTAGGGTAATTTTAAAAAGTATTAACTGACAAGTAATAATTATATATATTCATGGGATATTCGGGGTGATATTTCAATGGGTATATCAATGTCCTTTTAGAAGAACAAAACATTTTAAACTAAAAGGAAATGCAAATTTTATTTCTTCCCCAAAAAGTCTAAAGGTTCAGGAAAAAATAGCATGGACTCCATGAACATCACCTTTATTTGCAGTCGAATGGGGAAAGACTGGCACGGGCATGTCGTCCTCTCTAGCCACCCCGCTCAGGAAAATAGCATTTCTTTTGTTTTAATGCCTAATTAACTCCCTCCTTGAACTAAGCTAGTTGAAAAACTTGTTTTTGATCTTGGTGATTTTGAATGCATCCGTTAAATACAGCCCAATTTCAGTGGCTCCAGTACACCACTGTGTCTAAATGACTCCCGGTCACCTAGGAGATGCCTGTGTAGAGTGGGTACAAGTACTTCCCAGAGGCTGCCTTGGCCTCTGCACCCTTCCCCCAATCATTCCAGAAGGCTTGGCCTGATGCCTGCACTTTAATCTTACGTCCCTGCGGGGGCTGAAGCACAGGTGGTATGAGAAAGGACAACCTGTGAAAAGAACCGTGGACTTGAGAATTCTAGGGAGAAAATGCCGGTAAGTCATCACCGTTATAATCATTATTTTTATACAAATAAATCTTTGGGGAAGAAACGAATTCCACGTTTGAGCATCAAAATACATCCTTTAAGCCAAAAACATGAATAGACTCTCCTGGGGGTTATTTGTTCCTGTGGCCCCATGAGGGACACTTCAAAGCTTCCCAGAGGGAAATAATAGTAAGGAAACGCCTGAGGACCTCTTCTCTTGAATCATATGATGTTGATTTTTCAGCTACACCTCCCCGTGACTCACAAGAATCAGGATGTAAAAGAAAACTTGATTCTTGTTAGTCATTAACTGGAGTGGAGTCACTTGCTGTTTCCAAGCTCATTTCTACATACACCTTGGGACAGCCTCAAAGGCCACCTTGCTGGGTGTCACCTCAGAGGCGTGCACGCTACCCAAGGGTGGTACCTACCTGCTGGGGGTGGGAGGTTCACCTGGCCCCCTGGGGTTCCTGCTATGGACTTCCGTCCAGCGTTAATACCCAACCAATTGGGTAACACATCAGAGCTTTACAAATACATATTTTAAAAAATCACTTTGCAAAATGCTCATCTATTAATACTCAGAAGTTGAAAAAAGAACAATTATTTTTTAAAGTTACCAAGCATTCTTCATCCAGTAACTCCAAAATGCCCAATTTTGCTTCAATCAGGTCAATAACTGGTTGATTATCATAAAAATCTATCAGAGTCCAAGGGATGTCTTCCTTCATATATTCTTCTTGTTCAAGTTTAAAGACATGCTGGGAATCCAACGTTAACACAGAAAGCAAAACATTAAACTGTGCTTCCAAAGAGCAGGACGTACGCAGTTGGAAAACGTAGATAAATGGTTGATTCCTAATGTTCGTGTCTAAACAGGAAGAGCCTGGAGTACAGGTAACCCCCCTTCCCCAAGATCAGTTCCTAATGGGAGTGGTCCCCACCTCCTAGTGTGTAAGGCTGGGGCCAGCCTGTGTCACCACCAGCACCTCGTGGCACTCAGTGTGGTCCCAGAGCCCCTCCCTGCTTGTGGCCACCCAAGGACAGATCTGCCCCTTTGGCCTTGCAGGGCCTGGCTGGGTGGGGGCTGGCTGGGTGGGGCCAGCGGGAGACGCCCACTGTGTGGTGGAGATCGTTGTGCACTACTTGTTGGGGCTGTCAGGCTAACAGGGAGGCTTCCCGGAGGACGTGGCTCAGGCCCACCTGGAGGATGAAGGAGAGTTTGCCTGCAGGCGGTGGGGTGGGTGAGGGGCAGCAAGGAGAGAAGCCTCCCATGGAGGAATCCCGGTGGGAACAGCATGCAGGCTGCGGGGGAGGTTGAGAGATGCCCCTCGCACAGACTAGAAAGCACGGTAGTGATGGGAGGCAGTGTGACAGCAATGACAGAAACAGATCACTCAAGAGAATTCAGGGCCCGTGGCCTTTTCCTGGAGCAGTGAGGACCCACTGAGGGGCGAGTGGTGGTGGGGGGTGTCACATGAGACCTGGGGGCTGGCTCGGAGGAGGGCAAGACTGCACCAGAACCAGCCCCATGTTCCGGTGGCTGGGACCCGGGGAGGGAGATGAGGAGGGGGGATGAATGTTAGGCCCGGGACACGGGGTCCATGGCACTGGCCAACCACAAAAAGCAGTGCGGAGTTAGGAAAGCAGGCCAAGGGGAACGGTGGCCCCCTCGCTTCTCAACCTGCCACTGTGAGCTCCCTGGGGCGCTGGGGCAGAGCCAGCAGCAGCCACAACAGGGGCTGGAGGCAGGAGAGTCTCCCTCCCGGAGGCTTTCTGTGCTGACAATCGAAGGTGTTGCCCCTCCTGGGAGGACCGGCACATTGACAGACGGCTCAGAAAAAGAAGAACAAGAGCAGGAGAGGAAAGAAAAGGAGAAAAATGAAAAAATGGAATTGCAGCCTCTGATGTGCGGTTTTCGGCAGGGCATCTGGCACGTTGTCCTGGGGTGGGTGGGTCATCAAGGAGTGGCAGGGAGAGGGCGGGGAGAGGGCAGGGTCTACAGAGGGTTTGCCTTCAGGTGAGTTATGCTGGATATGTACTGGGAATAAACGGCAGCTGAGGTTATACATGCTAAATTTCCAGGAAATCCTTGCAAATGCTAAAGAAATAGAAATTTGCAATGGGATGGAATTTAATGCCTATACATGGATTAATTCTGGAACAAGGAAAAGAAAAGAAACATTTGCCAAGTAGGATTTAATGTTAGGTCTTCTCCTCACGAGGTTAGGCAGATATCATTGACTCATTTTTTAATTGATACATAATAGCTGTGCATACATTTGGGGGACATGTGACATTTTGATACATGCAAACAGTGTGTAATGATGACTCATTTTTGAAACAAGGGAACTGAGGCTGAGCGAGCCCAAGGTCCCAAAGGAGGAGGTGGTAGAGCAGAGACAGACCCAATTCAGCTTGACCCAAAGCCCACACTCTCCACGACATGCTGTCTTTTCCTCAGGGGTGTGTGAACACTAACAAAGATATAACCTTTCCTTGAAGTCATTGTTAGGATTTTAAAGTGATTTCTATTATAAACTGGAATCAAAATGCTTTCCATGAAAATGTAGCCAAAGTTTAAGACAGAAGCTAGAGGGAAAATATGAGTCAGTTTTGTAGCTTTCATGGCTTTTCAGAAACGCAGCCAAACATAAAAGGAAGCAATCTTAACAAATATGAGACTAGAGTCATGGTAAAGCCATATATAGAATGGTGTCCAAACAACTTTTAATTTCATTGCTCTCTGGTTAGGAACAAGGCATAAGCACTGTTGGGGATTTCAAAGTGAAATCAATGAAGTCTCAGGGACTTATTTAAGAGGTTAAAATGGAATTTAAGGCCAGGTTCAGTGGCTCATGCCTAGAATCCTAGCACTTTTGGGAGGCCAAGGTGGGAGGATCACTTGAGGCCAGGAGTTTGAGACCAGCCTGAACAACACAGCAAGACTCCGTCTCTACAAAATATAGAAAACTTAGCCGAGCATGGTGTTTTGTGGCTGTAGTCCCAGCTACTCAGGAAGCTGAGGCAGAAGGATCGCTTGAGCCCAGGAGTTTGGGGCTGCTGTGAGCTATGATGATGCCACTGCACTCCAGCCTGGGTGACAAGACAAGACCCTGTCTCAAAATCAATCAATCAATAAAATTGTACTTAATACACATAGCAATATCAGAACACCCAAACAGCCACAAGTAACACTTAGTCAACATTTTTTAAGTGTCTTATTCAACTTTCTACTTCAGCACTCAACTTAGTATCTGGCATACATAATAGGCACTCAATAAAATTTTTGGAATAAAATAATTTTCCCAGTAGGAAAAAAATTAGAATACATCACTTGTCTGTTTCCATGGGAGGACATATTTGATCTTACTGGTAGTTAGGAAGGTACCAGATACATCTTGTTCTAAATTAAGCCTGGAGATAGCCGGGCATGGTGGCGCATGCCTGTAGTCCCAGCTACTCGGGAGGCTGAGGCAGAAGGATCGCTTGAGCCCAGGAGTTTGAGGCTGCTGTGAGCTAGGATGACGCCACGGCAATCTAGCCCGGGCAACACGGTGAGACTCTGTCTTAAAAAAAAAAGGCTGGAGAAACTCACTCCCTTACTCCAGCAGCCATGAGCTATTTAGTACCACGTGCGCTGAGATAGGCCCTGGGCTGAGACACAAAGAATGCAAGCCCTGGCCTCTCTGGGTGACCAAGTTTATTTGGACACACGCATACAAATGATGATGATTCCCTGTGATGTGCCTGTGATAGAGGAAGCACGCAGGAAGAGGCAGGGGCTGGCAGGGCAGACTCTCAGGGCAGCTGTCCCTCAAAGACGAGCAGGAGTTTGCAAAGTGAAGGTGAAGGCTGGGGAAAACAATCGCAGCAGGTGGGCTAAGGCACAGAGGGCAGCAAGTGCACACTCAGAGGCTCGAAAGGAAGGGGAGTCTTCGGGTGAGACCCCCCCCCAGGTCTCATGTGACATCCCCCACCACCACTCGCACTTCAGTGGGTCCTCACTGCTCCAGGAAAAGGCCACAGGCCCTGAATTCTCTTGCATGATCTATTTCTGTCGTTGCTGTCTCTACAAAAAAATAAAAAAATAAAAATCTAGCTGGGTGTTGTGCTGCATGACTGTATGTAGTCCCAGCTACTTGGGAGGCTGAGCTAGGAGGATCGCTTGAGTCCAGCAGTTTGAGGTTGCCGTGAGCTATAGTGACACCACTGCACTCGAGCCCAGGTGACACAGTGAGACCCTGTCTCAAAACAAACAAACACAAAACCTGCAAGAGAGGCCTTATCTTATAGACACAGAAACTGGGGTTTAACTAGTTTGTCTGGCTGCACAGAAGGTCTGTACCCAAGAATGGTAGGGGAAGCTCACGAGTTGGCAGGTGGCTCAAAAAAGATGAAAAAGGAGATGAGAGGGTGTGGTTTCACGATATGGCCACAAGGTGGCGTAGTGACCCAGCCTGAGGCTCTGCAAGTGAAAATTTGAACCGTGAAGAGTGAAGGTAGCGGCTGCGCCTCTTTCCACGTTCGTGCACACGCGTGACTGAGAAGTAATTCCAAGAAGGCAGAAAAGTCACCTACCAGGTTAAACTGTTGTTGCAGTTTTTCATTAGCATAATTGATGCAAAATTGTTCAAAGCTGTTCACATCAAAGGTTTCAAAACTGAAATACAGTTTAAATAAGTTAAAATATAAGTTGAAGTAGGACACATGCATTCATTTATAGATGTTTTTTTGACAACTTCAAAGCTTAAAAGTTTGCTGTGTTTTCTGCAAGTTTTAAATATATCTCAAAGCTTCTGGTTTTAATGATATCCTGGCAGTCAGTTTATAAATAACCTTTTTCCTGGTTGTCCCTGGAAGGAATCTAGTGTGTACAAAACACTTAGCCTGAGCCAGGCATTAAAACAGACATGTCACAGTATGTGTATCATTTATTTACTGCACACAACAACACTGACGTCAGCATTGTCCTCCTCACCTTATAGATCAGGAACTCAGACTCTGAGAGCTTAAGGAACTTGCCTAGGGTCACACAGCTTGTGTCAGAACCTGGCTGTGAGCCTGCCCGACCGGAATGCCTGTGCCGTCACTGGGAAAGCAACAAGGTTTCCTATTCCCCTCTCCTTACGTGTTGAGGGGAAGGGGCAGCACAGTTTTGCCTCCCCAAGGGGAGCTTTCACAGTTCCTGGGGGAAAAGGGCAAGGTGGTTTAACACCCCAGGCCTAGCAGATCCCCAGGTTCAAGACAGACGACGCCTGCCTCCATTTGCAGACGTTCAATAGCTGTTTCTGCACTAATAGTTGCCCCGGGATTTCCTGGCAGGTGACGGACATGGAAGCAGGCTGGATAGGACACAACCAGGAGTGTCCTAAGGGGCTGCCACTCAGCTCCTGCCAGCAGTGGCCACGGGTGAACGCAGGCCAGGATGCTAGATCACCTGATTCTCAAGAAAAGGCAGAGAACTGGATTTTCTGGTCCCACTGTAAGTCACGGTGCAGGCTGAACACACAGCGGCACCGGATCTCCCGCCCGACCAGGAGAGCGCTCTGCTGGAAGGAGGGCTACTGGGTGCTTTGAGGCGTCAGCATTTATCTACCTCACCTCCCTTAACCCTGATGCCACCCTTTGTGGGGGACTGCTGTGATCCCACTGTCACACATGAGGGTCAGGGAAGGTGACCACGGTGAGGAACAACAGCCAGCATGTGGTGCCAGGAATGCAGTTTGACCCCAGCTCTTAGTGCCTCCAGAGCCTGTGTTCTTAATTGCTCTAGTCCTGAGATGTTCCTGCCAGCTCCGACCTGGGGCCCCTGAGAGTTTTGCTTGACTGAGCCAATTTGGCTCAGTTTAGAATTCTCCTGGGCAGGGTAAGGGCCTGGACGGTCCTCTAGACAGCTCCAGGGTGACCCGCAGCAGGGGCAGAACCCACACAGCTCTGATGGCCCCACTCCACGTGCAGCCTCAGCGGTCCAGAGGTTAGCAGGCCAGGCTGGGCCGAATCAAAGGGGACTCAATGTGCTCTGCAGCCCACAGCTGGGGCCAAGGGCGGAGCTTTCTAGAACAGGGTGAAATGTTAAAATCAGTGATTATTTTGGGGCACTCAAAGCTGAAGTTTAAAACCCATGGAAAGACCTAAATCTGTGACTTAAAATGCCAGAGGCGCATTGGTTATGACAACACTTCACATTTGAATAATGCTTATGGTTTTCAAGGTGCCTTCATAATTTCCGCCATTTGATCTTAAAAATAGGCCGGGCGCAGGGGCTTATGCCTATAATCCTAGCACTTTGGGAGGCCAAGGAGGGAGGATTGCTTGAGGGCAGGAGTTTGAGACCAGCCTGGGCAACATAGCAAGATCTGTCTCTACAAAAAAATAAAAAAATAAAAATCTAGCTGGGTGTTGTGGTGCATGACTGTATGTAGTCCCAGCCACTTGGGAGGCTGAGCCAGAAGGATGCTTGAGCCCAGCGGTTTGAGGTTGCAGTGAGCTATAGTGACACCACTGCACTGTAGCCCAGGTGACACAGTGAGACCCTGTCTCAAAACAAACAAACAAACAAAAAACCCGCAAGAGAGGCCTTATCTTATAGACACAGAAACTGGGGTTTAGAGCGGTTCTGTGACTTTCTCTGGGTCATACGACTGGTATGTAGCAGAGCTCACTTCCAGGGGTGTGACCCCAGACCCAGGCTTTCCAACTCGTGTCCAAAGAACACAAACACACGACAAGCCAGGGAGTCACAAGCCTTCATGCTGCTCGGAGCGTAAACCTCACAGCTTGCTTCAGCTTTACTCACTCTCGGTGATGCTAACTTTTCCTCTGAGACGTCCTTATTTCCAGGTCAAACTGAGCTCTTTTGAAAGCTGCAGGGTATGCGTGGGCAAGGGCTAACCTAGACGTGAGCATACTGGAGAAAGTGGGCAAGGATTCGCCCCAGGCTCCAGCCGCCCTTCTACTTAGAGGAGAGCTTATTTTTTCGGAGATGTACCATTAGTTCATGGGTGGTAGCAAGCATGTTACTCTCATTAATAGAATTTTGGAAGAGGAATTTAATCTTAAAAATTAAAATTGAAGATTTATTCTAAGAAGTCCTTGTGAATTTACCAGTACTCTTGTCTCAGGTTTGTTCACTTAGCCAAAGAATTAAAATTCCTTACTATAGCGGTCCTGAGGCCTGGGGGGCCTGAGTCCCACCTCTGGCCATTCTCATGCTCGCTGCTCCTCGCACACAGCTGGCCCTGCACCGTCCCCTCCCCTGCTGGCCTCCGGCACACCCACACCTTGCTCCTGTCCCAGGACCCATCCCAACCCATACTAACTGCCTGCCTCCCCCACTAAGATCGAAGTCCCAAGAGGGTGGGGACCATGTGTCTATTCTGTTCACCAATCCCCCCAACACAGCACCTGGTATGTAAACAACTGTTGGATAAAAATATGAAATAATACGTTCTTAAAATAAAGGGTTATTTTATTTTACTTTTTTATTTTTTGAGACAGTCTCACTCTGTCACTTGGGCTAGAGTGCAGTGGCATCATCATGGCTCACTCCAACCTCAAACTCCCAGGCTTAAGTGATCATCCTGCCTAAGCCTCCTGAGGAGCTGGGATTACAGGCACGCACCACTACACAGGGCTAATTTTTCTATTTTTTGTAGGGGGGTGGGTCTTGCTCTTGCTCAGGCTAGTCTCGAACTCCTAACCTCAGGCAATCCTCCTGCCTCGCTGGGCCTCCCAGAGTGCTAGGATTACAGGTGTGAGCCACCTGGCTCATCCTAGGGCTATTAAAGACATTTTTTTAAAACACGGAAAAGAAGAGAGAATAATATAACAATTATGTATTTCTACCTCAATGAAAGAGACTGTATTTTAAATCAGGGCTCTTATTTTTTAAAAGCTTAAATTTTCACAGGCTGCTCAGACACTTTCTTGGAATGGGACAAGGTAAATAATGTACTAGCCTAGCCCCGCCGTGTATCAGTATTTTGTAACTGTGGCATATACTATTAGCTGGGAGCCACACGTGTTAACCTGGACTCTAACGCAGTAACTCCCAGAGGCACCATCTCCCATTCGGCAGCTCCAGGAAACGCTGCCTCCGCCTGGGCAGGAGTCCAACAGCGTGGCTGCGGCCCCCTCCACCCCCAGGGGGCAGCAGCAGGGGCCCGAAGGCCCAGGGCTTAGTTCTCCCCTTTGAATGCGGAAGGGGCATCGAGCTCCTTTTCACCAGGGTGTGGGAGACGACTCCTCAGTCCAGGTGGAATCCTCTGGGATGCCTTTCCTGGGACTGTCTTCCCACCTCCCACTGAGAAAGCAGGTTGGTCCCAGGAGAGGGGAGAGGGCTGTGCCTTGAGGCCAGCTGCCAACAAACAAGGCCCGAGGGACAGCAGGCCCCGCAGAGCCCCCTCCACACCGGCTTTCATGCTGGGTGTTCCCTAAGCATCTTCAGCATGAGCTGGGGCTGAGATTAGAAAAGCAGGACGAGGCAGAGAGAAGAGAAAAGAACAAAGCCCCGGGCTGGGAAGAAGGATTAGAACTCTTGGAGAAGGGCTGGGCAAACCCTAGACCTTATTATCCAAGGATGGAAAAGGATTTAGGTGAGGAGGGTGGTTGATCAGGGGCCTGAGGGCTTGGGCAAGGTGCAGGTCCGGTGTGACTGCCACCCTCCACGGAACGGGAAGGGACCTCAGAGCTCTGCACCTCAGGGGACTTTGAGGGGAACAGAAGCGGGTGAGAACCTCACACCAGGCCAGGTTCTCCCACCAGTGCAGCAAATGTGAACAAGATATTGAATTTTTCTAAGCTTTGGTTGTTGCATCTCTAAAATGGGGACAATTATAAGGTTGTTTAAGGATTAAGTGAGAAACGCATGGAAACCAGTCAGCATCGGAGCTGGCATGGAGTGAGCTCTTGTATTTAACGCCCTCTAAATAAAAGGCATAGCCCAGGAGGCTGCACTTAGCATCCACATATGCAAAAGCAGAGAATGTCATCTTTCTAATCATGGGAGACACAAAAGAAGAACCAGAATAAAATGATCTAAAAATAACGAGGTATTCGACATTTAAATGAGGAAAGACAGGCTAACTGAAGAGAATCTTACCCATAAATGTCCAAAACACCAATAAAAGTGTGCTGCTTGCCTGAAAACTGCAACGCTTGGTTAATTCTCTCCACAATGAAGTCGAACAGATGGGCATAGATCTTTTTGGCCAGCGCGTCCCTGGCGTTGACAGCCTGGGGCCTGGTCATGGGTTTCACCACCGTCTCAGAGCTTGTGATGATTTTGCGGTTGCATAGCCACTGAGCGACGTTGCTACTTTCCAGGCCCAGAAGCTCACAGAATACCTTCAGGTGACTGTCATCCTCCTTTAAAAACAAGCACAAGCTGCATCAGGGCCACCCAGCCATCCAAAGCAGCACCACCTACCTGGCCAAGGCACCTGGGCCCACACCCAAGCCTGTGAGAGGTGAGGAGTAGCTGGCGTGAGGAGTAGCTGGCATGTGTGAGGACGACCAGCCTCAGGAGATGGAGACAGGCCTGGAACAGAGCAGGAGGGGCCGCAGCAGCATGGATCCTGCTCCTGGCCCTTGTGATGCCAGGCAGTCCTGGGCTGTGTCCCACACAGATTTTTCATTCTGGCCAAAGAATGTCAGTGGTTATTAAGGCCACAGAAGCCATCCCCTGGCCTGCCCCAACTCCTGTGCATGTGGACACAGCTTCCAGCCCTTCCTCTTCCCTTTGCACCATGCCCAGACACCATCAGAATGCGCACTCACCCTGCGCCACCTCATGTGCCCAGGGGTTTGCCTGAATGCTTTGGCCCAGGAGGTACCTGGGTATCAGTGCCAGAGCCTGCCGGGGTGCCCTTGACGGAGCTGTCTTCTCAGCCAACACAAGGGCATGGTGCAGGACTTTTCCTGAATGCTCAAAGTGAAACTTGTTTCTCCCCCAAGCCTGGGCCTGAGAGCCGTCCCGTTGGCCAGCAGACAAGGAGAGGAAGATGCTCCCAAGTGTCTTTGACCAGTGTGGACAAGGTGCTCTTGTCACTTGGCAAGGAGATGCAACTCCATGTGACCAAGCATCATCATTCCTCTTGAGCAGAACCTCCAAGGCAGGCTCACCGGCAAGCACCACTTCAGCCAACCAGGAAAACCATGTCACTGCATTTAAAAAGCCTCCGTATGGGGAGGAAGCATTCTAGAAAGCCCTTTCATCCTCGCCCTCCACCCACACCCCTTCTGACCACCACCAATTAACACAGCGCTTGTTTTTGATGTGCCTGAGCTCCTTGATGGGGAGGGGACTGGCACAGCCGCTGGTTTCCTTCCTTCTGAGAAAGAACCAAACCTTCCTTGTTTTAAAAAATAAATAAATAAATCAGCTACAGGTGCTGCAACAGAAGAAAATGCAAAGGAACAGCAGTTTTTTAAAAAGTAAGATGGCTTCATCCAAATTTAATTTGTCCAACATTTCAAGTTCCTAATGAGTGGTGTTTGTGTTCCAAAGTTAGGACCAATAGTCACAGACTGGTCATTTTCTACAAAGCTTCTTAGAATGCTTTCCAAAGGAATTTTAGTCTATCAATTTTAATTCCTCCTCCAAAATACAACCTTCACAACAAACATCATGGCCCAGATGCCAGCATCTGGGGGTCGGAAACCACATTTTAGTCTACGGGAGTTTGAGAAGAAAAAGGGCAGGAGCGCAGCTTCTCTGAGGTAAAGGAACAAGGACACAGAGGGGGAACTGCCACTTGAGTACACTACATCCCTACCCCAGCCTGTGCTCACCTCTCTCAATTTCCCAGCCACCTCTGCGAGGTCTGGATTCTGGGGAGCTGGGAGGGGCCTGAGTGGGAGCTGGAGCAGGGGAAGGAGAATGACGTCACGCTCACGCTCACGGGGCAACAGGACAGAAGCACCGAGCCACGAGCCAAAGAGCTCATGCCCCGTTCTGCTCTGCTTTCTCTCCCTAAGCCGCAGGTACCAGAGAGCCAAGAACCCACCAGTTGCACCAAATTATCAACTGTTCTCATCAGTTATTTGGGGCACATGAAAATAGACATTACTACAGACTAAATGTCTGTGTTCCTCCAACATTCGTACGTTGAAGCCCTAACCACCAATGTGATGGTATTTGGAGATGGGGCCTTTGAGAGGTAATTGGGGTTAGGTGAGGTCATAAGGGTGGGGTCCCCACGACGGGATTAGTGTCCTTCTAAGAAGAGACACCAGAGGGCTTGCTCTCTCTCTACCACAGGAGGACAGTGAGAAGGCGGCCGTCTGCAAGCCAGGCAGAGTCCTCACCAGAACGCGACCACGCTGGCACCGTGACCTCAGACTTCCAGCCTCCAGAACTGAGTAAGAAAACAAATGCCTGTTGTTCAAGCCGCCCAGTCTATGGTATTCTGTTATGGCAGCCTGAGGTGACTAAGACAGACATGTTTCTACAAAGCTTTAAAGGTATGGAGATTTTGCATTTCATAGAAACATATTTTACTATGTGTTTGTTTTCTTCATTACATGGACATTGATGAAACTAATTAAACACATATCCCCCAAGAATCACTACTCATACTATTTGTCACAGAAGAGATACACACATAAACTTGTGTCCATTGAATAAAGAACTCTATCACGAAATGTACACAGAGATATGTTCCCAGGCAGGAGGCCGGCACCAAAACTTGATCTGAGTGGGCACAGGAAGTGCGGGCGCCCCTTCTGCTTAAAGCTGGCGGCGCCCTAAGGTCTTACACAGTCTGTACCTTCACCTCGGGCCTCATCTACACCCTCCCTTTTGCTCAGTCCTCTCTGGAGAGCTGACTTTCCTGCTGTTCCTCAAACGAAATCTCCTGCCTAAGGGTCTTTGCATTTGTTCCTTCTCCTTCGAACGTTCTTCCCCACGCACGGGCATGACTGGCTCCCTCATCTTCAGCCTCTGCCCACGCCACCTTATCAGCAAGGCTTCTCTGACTTCCCTGCATAAAAGACACAGCCCCTTTGTACCTCACTCTGTTTTATTTCCCTTTGTAACAGCTGTCGCCAGCTGCCAGCTGCCGGGGCCTATATTGGTTTATTGCATCTCCTCCCCTTCCCTCCCTGACATCATAAGCTCCACAAAGGGTTTCTTGTTTTATTTTGTTCACTGCTGGACAGAGCCTACAACAGCCCCTAGCACATAGTAGGTGCTCCAAATATATTTGTTCAATAAAAGAAAAACACACAGAGAGTTCATCCCCCGCCCCCATGTTGTAAGGGGAGGAAGCTTTACTCCAGGAGGCAACCCCTGGACACCCCGGCTTCCTCGTTCCTGTTAAACCAGTCTATCCAGGAGGCCCAGCAGTGTCTGCTGCTCCAATGCAAAGGCAGGTCAACCATGACCGGCTCTACCGATGGCCTCAAACCCAGGAAGGCTAAAACAGATGAGTATCTTACGCTAACTGAGGACCTCTCGTTGCCCACCGCCGTGATCTGCACGTTGCCCAGATGTAGGATGGCTGCCAGGATCTTAAAAACATCCATCTGAAAATCCTCCTTGAAACCTGGAAACAAGCATTTTCCCAAATTAGGAATTTACTGCATTTCTTCCCTTACGGGAAAGACAGGCATCCGGATTCTTTCAAGACCTGCCAGTGCCATCCGCGCCAAGAGCTGGGACAGGGAACGTGACGTGGATCCCGGGGAGAATCTTGGCGCGCTCTTCTTTTCCGTTCGACTCCCACAGACACGCAGCGTGAATGCTGCAGCCCACTAGGCTGTCCCTTTGCATGGCTGCTAGGAAGTTCGGCGGAAAAATTAATATCCAAGTAACCCTTTCGCAGCAGGTTCCTGGAAGAATCAGCTCTCACTATTCTGCATTCTTCATTTTAAATGTTTTTCTTTTCTCTGTTTGCTCATAAACTCCATGAATCTCTGGATTCTTCTTAAGGTGGGATGCTGGAGGGATTCCATCTGCCGCTCCAGCTCCTCTGCTCTCTGCCCCAGGAGACTGACCTGCACAGGCCAAGGCGATGGGCTCTCGTGCCCTCTGGAGGGGTTTGATTGATGGAGACCCCTGGCAGGTCAGAGAGGAGGAGCAGAGAGGGGCTCTGTGCCTGTCTTCCTCTGCCTCCTTCCCCATAAAGCTGCGTCGGACTGGTTGTGTGGCCCGACTGACAGCTCACGGCTTCTGTCCTGGTACTGACTTTACCCAATGCTCCTTTCAGACTCGAGTAACAGCCCTGTCCCTGAATGGGAAAGAGAAGTGAAGAGTCCTGCTGCTGTCCCTGGTTCCCCACTGCCCCTTGTGGCTCCCCTAGACCCTACCCACATCTTTGCAGTTAGTCCTTTCATATATAATCCCTTCCTCTTTTATTCTACTGTGAGTCTGCCCCGTGTTTTCCAATGGGACCTTGACTGATGTAGGTGGGGTATAAGTTACGACTACCTACCATATGGAGGTATCAAGAGGAGATTAGCACATTTCCTGGAGCTAAAAATGAACTAAACCAGCTGCTGGGAAGGACTTTGTGTCCGACCCCCATAACTCACAGGGGAAAACCTGCCAGTTCTGAGACAGGCTTTGCCAGGTCAGGGTCCCGCAGGTATGTGTTAGGGATGCTGAAGCAGGTCAAGGAGCTGAGAGATGCACCCGGCAGGTGGGACATTTACACTGATGCCCGTGCTCCCTGCACATTGGAACGGACCCTGGCATGGAGGCCGGTGACTCCCCCCACTCCCCCAAGCACAAACGCAGCAGGCCCTACATGCCGCGAAGAGTGGCCACTGCTAGCTGCTGCTTCTCACTTGAGGAAACCTGGACTGTTTCATTAGCAGGTAGGTCATGTTCTTAAGTAACTTCAAGGTCAGGTGTGGTGGCTCACGCCTATATTCCGTGTGCTTTGGGAGGCCACAGCAGGAGGATGACTTGAGTCCAGGAGTTCGAGATCAGCCTGAGCAACACAGCGAGACCCCCATCTCTACAAAAATTTTAAAAATGTATAGGCATGGTGGTGGTGCATGCCTGTAGTTGCAGCTACTTGGGAGGCTGAGGCAGGAGGATCACTTGAGCCCTGGAGTTCGAGGCTGCAGTTAGCTATGATCGCACCACTGTACTCAGTCTGGGCAACAGATCGAGAACCTGTCTCAAAACAAAACCAGAAACAAAACCCATCTACCCTCTAGGACAAGGATCCACAAGTGTTTTCTTACAAGGCTTTGCTGGTCACACAGTCTATGGCACAACTAGTCAACTCTACCACTGTGGCATGAAAACAGCCGCGGATGGAGGCCTGTGTTCCAGCAGCACTTCACTTATAAAAGCAGGCCGGTCTGCTGAGCCCTGGCCCCACGATATTTTGTAGTGATTGCTGTAAACATGTACTGATCTCTCACACCGATATAGCATGTCACAGTTCATAAACCATTTTCAGACACTATCTCCTAACCCTTACAACATCCCTAGCAGCTACTGTGGTGGCTACTCTCCAAGCTGGTCCCCGACACAGCCACTCTCCCTGAGTCATGAATCTGAGTCGGTCCTATGACTTTTTTTTAACCTTCTAGATAGAACACAACAGCAGCAGTGCTGCATTGACTTTTGAGGCTGGTTCATAAAAAGCCTCACAGATTCCACCTGAGCCTCTTGCAAACGGCTCTGGAAGAAGCTTGCCATGACGTAAGTCCCTCTACCCTAAGACCAGCATGCTGTGAGGAAGTCCAGCGACAAGATCACCTGGAGGGAAAGACGCCCTCCTAGCCACGTGAAAGCAGCTTTCAGAGGCTCTAGTCCCTGCCACCATCATGTGAGAGGTGCCCAGCTGAGCCCAGCCAAGCCAGAATCATGGGATACAATAAGAAACTGTCATGTTAAGCCACAAAAAATGTAGGGAACAGCAACAGATAATTGGAACAACTAAATATTTTCATTCTTACTCCATTGTACAGATGGGAAAACTGATGCCTTGAGACAATAATTCACGTGTGCAAGGCCACAGACCGATCTGTGACACGTGATAAAACTGGAGCCAAATATGTGACAAGAAATAATTAAGTACTAAATTGTGAGGCCTGACGCCAATGTACAGACAGTCAGAGGAGAGAGAGGCCACTGGGCTACCATCTGTAAATCATGAGCTTGTTGGAAAGTAAACAGGTATACACATTCTGCTGTAGTCCTGGAATTCTGCCAGCCAATCCCAGTCGCTCGCTGAGAACTCCCTCTTGAAAAAGACAGGCGCGACCGCCCCAGCCTCTTTCCGCCTGCCCACATCACCATTAACAGCCACAGGAGGCGGTGGACTGCTGTGCCCCCCGCCCCTCCCCTCAAGACATCTAGGCCTGCGCAGGTCTGGGCCAGGGCAAGGTGGGTTACGTGTCCAGGGCCAACCCTGCACTTGCACGACCCCGAGAGCGAGCGCCTCTCTTGCCTCATCCTAGCCTTAGCCTTGTCGGTGCGGAAATTTGTGAAAATAATCTAATTTGCGTGATGCGGAGGGAAAAAATGCTGCAAACTGCTCATCTCCAATAATTAGGGAAGGTTTCATGGAAGAGGAGATGGTTTTACTCAAAGGATGGGTAGGGCTTGGACGCTGGGGAACAGAGAGATAGAAGGCAGGCAGTAATGTCTACCAAGCGCCTGCTAAGTGCTTGGCCTGGTCCTGGGGGCTTCTACATACATTTCCTTGCCAGTGGCCATGAAAGGTAAGGTGCGTTGCCATTCTACAGATCAGGAAACCGAGTCTCAGAGAGGGTGACCTCTTCAGAGTTATGCCAACTAGGATTTGAATTCTAGTTTCTTTGATCTCAAAGCCACTCAACTTCCCCTTATCACGTACTATGAGGAGGAGAGTGATGGAGGGAGGACCTAGAGGGTACCGGGTGAGGGGAACGGGCAGGCCAGGGCATGTCCGCTTATCAAGTCCCGCCAGAGCTAGACTGACTACCTGTCCCCTCCTCATACGCCACATTTCCTCTTCAGGGAGAATGTTATATGAAGACTGAAATCATGACTACAATTGTTTTAAGAAAATGTTAATCAGCATTAGAAAATAATACCAGAAAATGTTAAAAAGTGTTTATCTTATGAAGTATTTAAATTACCCTTCTTCTTGAAGCATTCAAAAAAATGTTTTTAATTGTTTTAGAGACAGGGGTCTCACTATGTTGTCAAGGCTGGCCTCGAACTCCTGGACTCAAGTGATCCTCCCGTCTCAACTCCCGGAGTAGCTGGGACTACAGGCTCCCGCCACCGCACCTGGGAAAGCATTTTAGAGGGAGCAGAATCTAACGGTAATTTTGCTTGGGAAACTGTCTTGTTTTCATTCTCCACTATCCAAATGTCTTCCTCTTACTTATTACTTTGGTATATTTATCCTCAAATTCTTTGCCTTTTACATTCGAATATAGCAAACCAGGCCACAAAGAGAAAAACAAATAGCGGCCGGACATCTGTGAGATGTAGGAATAGCCCATTGTCTCACGCGGATCAGAAGCTGCGACTGGCAGTTACGTGTGGACGTCTAGGCTAACAAAAAACGAGGACGAGAGTGACTGCTTTTACCAGTGCCCTCTGGCAGACGCCTTCCCCAACAAAAGCTCTGGGGTAGGGGGGCGGGAGTCAGGTGGAGAGAGATTGGCAACCGCTGGCTGTCCTGTGAGAGTCACACCTGCTCCACCATGTCAGCATCTGAGCGATAGAAGATTTGGTTTTCTCTACAAAAACAAGATGTTTTAAGACCCTGGAGTGCAAACCCAGCTGCTTCATATTAACCACCTGACCCTGAGTCATCTCTGTGCCTCAGTTTCCCCACTGTAAAACGGGAGCCACACCAGTTCCGACTTCACAGGGTGGTTGTAGGGTTTAAATAAGTGAGTGGGTAATGAAGTGCTTAGGACGGTGCCCAGCACACTGCACGCTCCAGACAAGTGCCCACTATTTTATTATCCATGTCAAGATACCCAGCAAGGCCAAGTAGGGTTCACCCTGCACTTCCAAGCTGAACTGAACCTTGGCTTCACCGGGCTTCTCCGTAGTCAGCCCGGAAGGGCTTCAAGCAGCCACGAGGCTTACAGCCCACGCCTCTAACAGCAAGCCAGCAAGGCTGAGGGAAAAACATGTTCATTTCTAGCTTTTTAAGGGAAAAGCAGAGTCTTGGCTACTTAGTCTCCAAATATGTTCAGATGGCTCACCCTAAAATTTGGATTTATTAAGAGTCTTCAGAACACATGCATGCTGGGAATCCCTGCCTTTTCTTTTCTTCTTCTTTTTTTTTTTTAATCAAGACAAGGTCTTACTATGTTGCCCAGACTGGTCTCAAACTCCTGGCCTCAGGTGATCTAAGCGATCCTCCCACCTCAGCCTCCCAAAGTGCTGGGATTATAGGTGCGAGCCACTGTGCCTGGCCTTTTTTTTTTTTTTTTTTTTTTTTTAAGAGATAACAGCCACACACTCGGATAGGATATTTTCATTTACCCAGCAGCGTGAAGGTCTTCTGAGTCTCTATCATGTCGGCTCGGTCATTCACACCCTCAATGACAGTATTGCCTCCCATGCTGGTATAATTAAATTCTTCCGCACTCCCTGAAATCAAAAAGTAAGATTAGTTATGTCTGTGACACAGAAATTTGGACATACATGTTTATCAGAAGCTAGAAGGGAAGTTCACACTTAATGAGCTATGTCAAACACTTTACATACGTTACTTCATTTATTCCTTGGAATTCTATGTTAAAGATGCAGGAGCTGAGGCTCAGAAACTTGTTCAAGGTCCCACAGCTGATGGTAGTAGGGTGGGAACTTAAATGCAAGCCTGACCATAAAGCTCATGGTTTTGTTCCTGTACCTAACATTTTCATACAACTTTACTTAGGTTTACTAAATGTACAATAAACTTCATACATTTAAGATGTATAATTTGAGGTCCAGGTGCCATGGCTCATGCTGGTAATCCCAGCACTTTGGGAGGCTGAGGCAGGAGAATCGGTGGAGCCTAAGAGTTTGAGGCTAGCCTGGGCAATGCAGCAAGACCCCATCTCTACAAAAAATAGAAAAATTAGCCAGGCATGGCAATATGTGCTTGTAATCCCAGCTACTTGGGAGGCTGAGGCAGGAGGATCACTTAATCCCAGGAGTTTGAGCTGCAGTGAGATATGATGATGCCATTCTAGCCTGGGCAACAGAGTGAAACCCTATCTCAAAAAAAATTTTTTTTTTAATTTAAGATGTACAATTTGATGAATTTTGACATACATATAACCTTATCACAATCAAGATAGTGACCATACATACACAACTAATATTTAAATAGCAAAGAACCCTTCAGAAAGCTCTTCTGCATGTTTGCCATTCACATGCTGTTTGGCAGACAAGGCATGGACATAATCTTCATGTGAAATCTGCGGAAACTTAGATTCCAAGAGTACAAGCACTTAACCAAAATTAGAGAGTGTAAGTTCAACTCCAGCGTGATAGAAGGTACGTCTGATAATTCTTGTCTACTGACACAGCGCAAACAATCAGGACAGGAGAGTCAAGACAGTACAGGGTTTGGGGCCATTTGTGCTTAAGGACAAAAAGCTCTACTTCTCGGCTGTCCCTGAAGTATCATTAGTTATGACTACAAATAATGAATGACCCTAAGTCATCAAGGAAGTTCAAATTATGATAGAGGTGCTTTGTTTAAAAAGACAGAGAACTATATCATAAATGTTAGAAAAACAACTATCTAAGCATGTTCAAATAAAAAGGAAAGTTTGGGGACTTACAGCAGTGAGTTCCAGTTGTCAGGAGGCCCTATTCAGGTGGCTCTAGCTGGATGACCACAATCACCCTATGAGCTTCGAAAACAACCCTGGGGCTGCAGAGGCTCCCCACCCCCACCCCATCCTTCTCCTTGGTTAGATGCATCAATGCCCCCCTTGAAACCCAAGGATTTTACATCTTTAGACAAAATAATTTTCTTTAAAGGTGTGTTACTATAATATAAAGAAATTAATCTAGAATTTAAACCGCTACAGAAAAGAGAGACCTTTCCGCACACCATCCATCACGTACCCAGTTTAAGATGTTTAAACTCCGACTGCTGTGCAGATGCACAAAGCTGATAGAAAATGTGGTAATTTCGTTCATTTTCCGACTGTAAAATAAAGACAAGTCCCAAAAGTTATGTCAACTCTTTACAAGCAAAAATGTTAGGTTTCTAACTACAGGGTCCTAGTCGGCTAATCCAGACGGACAATTCTGCTGTCATGCACACTGACGTGTACGACCAGCTCACAGCCAGGCCCTTCCTCTCAACCAGGTGAGACCGGGTGGCCCAAGATTGTCTTCCAAGCAATGACCCCAGGGAAAATGTTATTAAGTGAAAATATGCTATGAAATGGGAATGATGTCATTTATACTAGTTGAAATTTTTAAGAAATTCCCCATAATACAAGGTTTACTGTTGCTCTTCTCCTGGGCAAAACTTTCTCCATTTTACCGATAGAAAAGCCTTTCTCTTACTCATCCCCCCCGTAGTTCTGATCCCTCTCCCTTCCTGTTAGGAAAGCCAGTCTAACAGCTTTTTCTGTTTCAAATAGTTTTTGTGTTCTGAAAGATAAACTTGATTTATACGCTGAAAAGATTTTTTTAAGTGCCTCAACTTAAAAAGCTGTAACCTTTTCCCTCGACTGATACCACCTGCCTGATATTGCACCTGTGTATCCATTTTTATTTTTAATAAACAGAAAAAGAATCCAAAGTGCAAATGAAAGACAGGAAAACTCTATTCTTCAAGTCACAGAACAATGTAGGTTGTCTAATGAGAATATAAACATAAACAATACACAGTATGTTGGGGAAAAAGAAATGTAATGAATACTTTTATCCTTACTTGGAAGACAACTCTGGATTTTTCCAGGAGGTAAGTCCTCATGTTGGCACCTATAATTTGATTTCTCTCATCAAAACTGATTTCTGTGTATTTCCCAAACCGACTGCTGTTGTCATTGCGGGTGGTCTTGGCATTTCCGACAGCCTACGAGACAAAGGACTCGCTTGAAATAACCACAGTAGAAGACTTTTGCATCAAAATTATTAGAGCAGTTTCTAGTAAAATCCAAGCCTGTACACTGGGGGAGGGTCTGGTTCGCAGAGGGAGGTCTGGGGCCGGGGAGAGGAGGAAGCAGCCCGAGGCTTACAGGGAACACAACACCTGCTGAGCCTGCTGCCCAAGGCCCTCCTCAGCCTCGCTGGGAGACACCGAGTAGGACCAGAAAGAGCACAGGCGCTCTGTTTCATGGCCCTCGCATCCACTCTTGCTATCTGTGTGATGCCGTAAAAGTCATTTCCTCTTTCCAAGTCTTAATTTCTTTATCTGTAATATAGGAATAATATGCATCTTACTATTATGGACTGAATATTTGTGTCCCCAAAATCCGTATGTTGAAATCCTGACCCTCAGCATATGGTGTTAAAAGGTGGGGCCTTTGGGAGGTAATTAGGTCATGAGGCTGGAGCCCTCATGAATGGGATGTTAGTGACCATATAATGGGGAGTCCAGAGAGCTCTCTTGCTCTCTTTTTCCACCATCTGCAGGGACAGAGAGAAGACAGCAGTCTGAACCCAGAAGAGAGACCTCACCAGGATCCGACCCTCCTGGCACCTTGATCTAGGACTTCAAGCCTCCAGAACTTTGAGAAATAAATTTCTGTTGTTTGTAAGCCACCCAGCCTATGGCACTTTGTAATAGCAGCCCGAACTGACTAAAACACATACAGAGTCGGGAGGATTAAATGAGATAATATAAAGTGCATTAACTCATTCATGCCCCAAATATTACAGATGCTCAACTGAAAGTTCACATCCTTCGTCTAACTTTCACTTCTGTCCTTACTTCCTAGGGCTTTCCTGCTTAAACTTCCCACTCAACCAAAATCCCTCTCTCCCACAGTCTGGCCACGATTTTTGCTTTTCACTTCTGTTCTGGAATTCCACCTCTCCTCTGCCTGTCCCCTCCCCCTTCCTGAGCACCCTCCATCCCGCCTTCATGGAGCTCACAGTCTAGTGGGGGAGACAAACCTCAAATAAGTAACCACACGAAATTATCCACTGGGCACTTAACTTGGCGCTGCCTCTGGACAACTTTTCTATTGCTATGTTGGACTGTAAGTTATGTCTCT